AAAACAAAACGAGTGACAGTTTGTCGTCCCGAGGCGACCCGACCGACAACATCTGGACACAAACAACAGCGCCCGCACGCACACACACACACACACACACACACACACACACACACACACACACACACACACACACAAAACAGGCAGCCAGCTCTGTGTACACACCCGTCCTGAACTGTGACAGAGTCGTCTCCCATTAAGGCCCTAAAGAGCGGGACATCAAACCGGGTGGAGGCGCGGCGCGGCGGGAGCCAGGATCATCACATTTTAATAGAACATGTGGCGTCTCCTCCCCTCCACTCCACGCCAAATGGCAATCCTGAATTCTGCCCAGCTGTCGAGCTACAAATGGGCTGCAATTACCTCACGCCTCCACCCGCTTCAGCCGTCAGACGCCATCAGAGTGAGGGGTCACCGGACGGCGTTCCCTCCAAACTGACGGAGAATCTCCTGGAGGACCAGAGAAGAAGAAGAAGAAGAAGAAGAAGAAGCAGGAAAATGGACCTTTTCAGGGTCAGGTCTGGACATCTGAAGTCTGGGAGAGGAAACAGAGAACTTCGTACAGACGTTCGGTTTCCCGCTCCGCCATCATGACCTCATCGAATCACAGTCTGAACGCCACGAGCGCAGCAGGTTCAGTGTGAATATCTGCTCCTCCCCCTGATGCTGCTGAGACACTTTCAACGCTGAGATTCTGCTGAAGGTGCAGAAGAGCCCGTCAGACCAAACTCCATTCAAAAAACTAACGATTTTACTGAAACACTCGTCCTTCTGCACACAGACCCGACACAGATCACAAACTCGGACCGTTTCAGATCCACATCCTGATCTTAGTATTTCAGCATCCTGTTCGACTCTTTAAGAGTTCAGAGACGATCCAAAAACTCGACAATCCAGATTTTTATTTCACACCAACGTCAGTCTGTGAGGCAGAAGAAGATCTACTCTGACTTTACCAACAGCAAAAGGAAACATGTCTGATAATCTCAGGACTCGACATGAACGGGAAGTTCATGATGTTTGTGAAGAAACTGGGACTCTGTGGGGACAGACGGTGGACTGAGACAGAGTGAGACTGGGACTGAGGAGAAGACCGTGAACCTGGACTAAACGAGAGGATTTCACTTCCTTTAATCAGAGACCGACAAATCCCTGTCCCATCCTCCCCACAGCTGACCTGTGTGTGTGTGTGTGTGTGTGTGTGTGTGTGTGTGTGGGGGTAATTTCAGTGTTAATTAAGGCCCCATCTGCAGAACCTGCAAGCACTTCTCACCTGCAGACATGAGGGAGTACGGAGAGCTGGCAGGGACAAACAGCATGTGTTGACCGGCACACCTCCTCCTGTTTCTGTGGGTCAGGATTCCAGGGTCGATTTTAGGGTTCAGAGTCCGGATGATCAGGATTATTGTGAAGATTATTTTAATCTGCTTTTCTCAAACACAAACTGTGGAGGTTCTTCTGATTGGACAAACTCACAGATTATGTTCACAGACTGACGGACACTGAGAAGAGGAGGGTGAAGCCGTACAATCCTGTTGTCTGTTTCAGCGACTGAATAACTTTGAGTCGATTTTCGGTTTCTGGAAAACGTCTCAGAGTGACGCCTCTCTTTTAAAGAGCCAGGTAAACGCTACCTGGAGCTGCCAGGAAGGGGCGGAGCTGTAGAGGATGTTCCTGCCAAAGATTAAACGTCTCAACTCAGTCCAGTTGTCCTTTTAATGAAGAATTGGAAGTCAGTCAGTCCGTTTCCATGACACTAAACCGAATTATCGCCTTATTCCGATAAAGACCGGACAACTGAAGGTCATGTAAACACCTTAGTCCGACTATAATCTGAGTTTAAAAACTCCCAGATAATGAGATTGGAATATGATTTCCTCTCCCATGTAACCAGCGTAGTCAGAGTATGATGCCACGCCCCCGTAACCCCGTAACAAACCCCCAGAGTAGAGGAGTAGCGTTGGTCTCCTCTTTAGAAAAAGTAGCGCGTCCATCATGTCGGACAAAAACAACGCTGTACGATGCTCCATCTTCTTGTTTCTCCAAAATGCCCAGCAGCAGTTGTAGACACTTCTGACGTCTGACACCGACCTGCTGTTGTTGTTGACGGTTGTAAAGACCCATATCGCCCCCTAGTGTTGGGGAGGAGGACACGTTCACGTCAATAATTCAGTTTTCTCAGCTGCATGTTTACGAGGACGAGGAGAGAAGTCTGATCTGTCCAGCACGGGTCTAAAAAGACTTGACAGGAGGTGACTCCAGCAGGTCACATGACTCACCTGAATCCGCCGTTACAATCTTTAACATCATGGAGATCCAGCACACCTCCACACACTGAAGTCCTACAAACTGCAGTTCCCTGAGAGTCCACTAGGGGCAGGCTCCATCAGGCCTCATGTTAGTTAAACTACACACTTTAATCTTCTTTTTGACTTTTTGACTTTTTGACTGTTTTTTTCTGAGAATCTTTAGACTGACATGGATTTTATTTTCATTAAGAACGACTTTATATTTTCAGTATTTCACAGTTTTCATCGGCGCAGTTCCAGAGTTTGACCTTCTGCTCGTTGAATGTTTCTTTAAAAGACCGTCATCGTCTCTACAGGTATGTTACATCAGCTCTGGTTGCCATGGTATCGTCTCTCAGGTGAGTTTGTGTCCAGATGGAGTCGGAGCGAGTCTTATCATTCCTGTTTGTCTCCGAGGAGTTTCAGAGCAGCAGCAGCAGCAAAGACCTCTGGGAAACGGAGTGCATGTGATCACATCTGCCCACAGCTGCCTGTGAGAGTTTCTACATCAACAGGACGTTAGTTTAGAGGCTGTGAAACACCTGTGAGCGCCGCAGAGGTCAGAGTTCAATTATAGGCCTCGAACAGGAACACCGTCAAACAAATAAAACCACCATAATACCACCTTAAAACTGACTTCAAACCACCTTAAAACTACCTTCAAACCACCTTAAAACTACCATCAAACCACCTTAAAAACTACCTTAAAACCAGAATAAAACTACCTTAAAACCAGTAAAAAATAACCTTAAAAACACCATAATACCACCTTAAAACTACCTTCAAAACACCAGAATAAAACTACCTTCAAACCAGAATAAAATAACCTTAAAAACACTATAATACCACCTTAAAACTACCTTCAAACCACCTGAAAAACTACCTTAAAACCAGTAAAAAATAACCTTAAAAACACTATAATACCACCTTAAAACTACCTTCAAAACACCTTAAAAACTACCTTAAAACCAGAATAAAACTACCTTAAAACCAGTAAAAAATAACCTTAAAAACACTATAATACCACCTTAAAACTACCTTCAAACCAGAATAAAACTACCTTAAAAAACTTCCTTCAAACCAGTATAAAAAACCTTAAAAACACTATAAATCTACCTTAAATCTACCTTAAAACCCCCTTATAACAAACATGAAAACCACCTAAAACCACCTTAAATCCACCTTCAAACCACCTTAAAACTACCTTAAATCAGAATAAAACTACCTTAAAAAACTACCTTCAAACCAGTAAAAAAAAAACTTAAAACCACCTTAAACCACCTTAAAAACCACCTTTAACACAACCTTGAAAACAACCTTAAAACTACCATAAAACCACCTTAAATCCACATTGAAACCACCTTAGACACCACCTGTAAAACACTACAGAACCACAATAAAACCACCATAAAACACTATGAAGCCAACTTAAAAACCACCTTAAAAACAACTTAAAAATAACCTTAAAAACCACCTTAAAAACCACCTAAAAAATAACCTTAAAAACCACCTTAAATTCCCCGTCAAACCCCCCCACAAACTCTTTTTCGAGGTGAATTAATTTTCCTCCTTTAATCTCAAATCTTCTCCTCTCCTCTTCAGCTTCAGATGATCGTCAGAACATACCTGAGGAAGTGTTTACCCATCATGCACCTGTGCCGCTGTGTGACAGCTGACAGAGCGCGCTCTCCTCATAATGAACTCTGTCGCTCTGAGCTGCCGTCCGCCGCTCTGACAGCTTCCTGTTGCACGCTCTCGTGGTCGTGGTCGTCTTCGTCTGTTGGACTAATTTAGACGTCCATCATGCTCGGTGGGAGCGTGTTCGCTTTAATGCTTTAATATCATCTTCTTCACCTCGGGGAGCGCCGCGCCGTAATCGCTGCCTCCAAATAATTTGTTTTCCTGCACGGCTCCCTCGTCTCCTTCCTGTCCGTCCGTGGATGAATATTCACGTTCACCTTTTTAATCCGATAAAGGAGCTTTCAGGGAGTTATTATGATCAGAGTTTTAATATGGAGAAGCTCTTTATGGGCTTCTCTGACTGCAGGGACCCCAACCTTCACTGAGGTCCAGATCCATGTTGGGTTCAGGTCCAGTTCATTAAAAAAGTCCAGATTCTCCATGAAAACGGAGAAACCTTCTTCTTCTTCTTCTTCTTCTTCTTCTTCTTCTTCTTCTGCTTCGTTAAACCCGGAGAACTCATCGCTCATCTTTGAGCTTCTTTAAAGTACAGCAGCTCACGTCTCCGTCCATCGAACCTCAGGTGGAGACGTTCTCCTCCTGAAGAACATCTAATAAAAACACTCGGGGATCTGCAGACCCTCACTGAAGACCAGGACCCCCATCAGAGCAGATCTCAGTCCACAGTGACCGCCTCACCCTCGCACTGCTGCGGACGCTCTGATTGGACGCTGAATGAACCTTTGAGACCCTCATACTTGCTGCTCAGGTCTGGGACCACCCAGATGTTGCTGGTGGGTCGAGTTTGGCCCAGGGACCACCAGTTGAGCAGCCGGGCCAGGTTTTACTCGGGCTGATGGTAAATGTTTGAACCTCTCCTAAAAACCTGATCATGTGACGGCGATGACCCTCAGGTGGATGAACGTGGTCGTGACCCTCAGCTGAGCGTGGAGCTGCTCCTCCTCTGCTCCTCTCCCCCTCCCCTCCTCCCCTCCTCTCCTCCTCTCCTCCTCTCCTCCTCTCCTCTCCTCC